TGTTCCCATTTGGTATTTCCTGAAGACAAAACCTCAGAACATTCACTCTGAAACTCACCAAGCTAGGTGTTCTATATTAATGTGATGGCTGCTGTGTTCCCATCATTATCTTACAGTTTTCTCTCTCTCCTTCACTAGCCTTTTGCCCACTACTTCCATCAGCGCTGTTAGCATGTTAATCACTTTGCTTTTAAGTCTTTGGTATGATAATGTATATCTTTCCTTTGTCTTTCTCCAATACTTGTCTTTTGTGTCTTGAGAATTCTTCAGAAATTTTCTTGAAATCCACAGCTGATTAAATGGATGACAAATTGAAATCTGATTTAATGAAAGTTTTCCATTTATTTGGGTGAGTTTATGGTATGTTTTGTGTGTGCTGCCAATTCTTTATTGTGGACTAAAATCCTCTCAACTGTTTTTGTTTTTGTCTGCTCAAATGCCTTGGTTTCACATGAGAGTTCTTCTTTACCTATTCCTTAGTTATGCCATTTGAGTCTGCAACGTGTGTGTAGATGTGGAAGGTGAGAAAGCATGACAGTGTTGTGATTTACACTGTGCTTTTAGTGAGCCTTAGCCTGGGGCATCACTCATCTAAAGGCTTCCCAGTGTCCCAACATTTTTTCCAAGTTGTATACACCATTCTGCACTATCATTTGACCAGAGTCACATTGTTGGTAAGGGTGAAGTGCCATCAGCAATAGACGCTCACCTGGTTCATCCAGAGAAAGGCAGTCCTCATGCTCATAATGTGTTGCTTCTGCGCTTAGGGAGGCATTATATTTCTAACAGCTGATGTGCATGTATTCAGTGTTTGAGTGAATATTTCTGAATTCTGCTACAGAAAACCAGCACAGCAAAGTGAATGAAAAGGAACAGGCATCTCTGGCCCTCAGGTAATCTTCAGTGCGTTTCTGCATTACTGTGAGTAATGTGGGTCCTGTATCACTACTGATCAAAAGAAGAAGTCAGAGGTAACCACAGATTTTATGCGCAGAGGTAAGCAGAAGTGCCGGTGTGATTACATATGCTCAATATGTGAAGAATCACTTCTATTTCCAAGGTACTCACGTTCCTTTAGTTGCACATCTGTATAGCTAAACAGAACCAAGCAACTCACTGGTGTTTAAACATGCAGAATGTGCTCTCCTCTGTTTATGGACCAGTCAAGCATAAGATGTAAGTCTTCTTCTGTATGGGTGACCTTAGTTTGTTGCCAGGGATTTCATACCAATGAGCATAACAGGATATATATATATATTCCAGAATGCATAAGATATCTTGAATTCTGCAGTGTCCTAAGAGTAAAAATTTGGTATATGAAATCAAGACAATTTAAAGAAAATGTGGTGTTACTGGTTATGTGTATTTTTTGACATGGTTGGGTGGTACAGGGAACCCTTCCTCATCACTTCTTTTTCTGATCAGTGCAGCAACCTCCTCTGCCTGTCTCCCTCTCTCAAGGCAGGTGCACTCTGCTCTCCTCCTAGGAGGATAAATGTCTCTGCATTGAAGGTCATGCTCCTGCTATTGTGTGACTACTCATTTAGGCCTTTGTTAGAGCCACCAAGGAGTCTTTTATTCAATCTTCCCTGCCTTAGTGAAGTTCCTTATCCCACCAGGCTGATCAAGGAGGGAATGGACCAGGACAAAGGAACAGCGATGCTGCTAGACTCCTTGCATGTCGGTCCCAAGACAAGCAGCTATGCATATGACTTCCCCACCCACCAAGAGCCTTGCTGCACCAGGGCTGTACTTTCAGACGGACACAAAGTCTCATCATCTCTGGATGCAGCCCATGAGTCCCCAATAAAGAGATCTGTGTATATACCAATAATTGTTCTTTTCACAAAAAGTTTTATTAAAATTCTTTCATTTATTTATTCGGTAAGGGTCTTACTGTGTAGCTCACACTCTTAATGATCCTCCAGTGTAACCTCCCCTCAGGCTAGCAGGTGTGCACCAACAGGCCCTGTTTCCTTGACCTTCTCAGCATGCAGTACCAGGGATGGAACCTGGGTCATTGCCCTTGCCAGACAGTTGCTTAGACCTCTGTGCTATCTCCCCAGCTCAACTACTCTTCTGAGATTCAAATGACAGATTCAAGGTCCTATAATGGTTCCTTCTAACTTTATTTACAGAAAATGTGCCTGACTGTAAGGATGAAGACTCACAGTCAAAGGCCTCCAGGTAAGTGACAGTCTAGGACTTCTAATTGTAACTAAGAACCTATGGATATCTCAGAGGTGGTAGATCCCTAGGAAACATCATTTGCTGAGTGTAGTGAATCTATGTCATCCAATCAAAGTATTTCAAACTTTGAGTTACTCTTTTTTTCCTGTATTTAGGACAGGGTCTAGGAGAGTATACAGGTTCTACCAGGTCTCACTATGTAGATTGGACTTGCAGTGATTCTCCTGTTTTCAGTCTCCCAAGCACTGGGATTATAGGTGTGTGCCGCTATGCCCAGTATCAATCACTGTGTAAGCGTGCCATGTCATGCTGGGGATTGAACCCTGGACACCTCACTCTACTTGAGTAGGTGCATTAGTCCATTGAGCTCCCAGGCTGGCCCAATGTGCATTATTCTTGATCTTAGCCAAAGGCAAAGAAGTTGTCAGTGTGTTAATGTGGCCCACTTCATTTCATTTTTAGATATTCACTGTTACTTCTTGCTAGCATCTTAAATGCATTAAACAGAATTCAGATGGGCTGGGCATGCTCATGGATTTCAAAAGTGTTATGTATATGCTATTTGTTTACTCTGATCAAAGCCCGAGAATGTTGCCTGTTTGGTATTTACAGATTGGTTAGAGATGCTTTGTTTTCACTTACCTAGAAATATAAATAGTTAAAAATTCAAGGCTATAGAAGCAATAATTATAAAATATTTTAGGAATTAACTTCTTTTCCCATGTAACTATTACTAAAATATCTTATGCACTTTTTTGTCTACCTGTGGCAACCTTGCATTTGAGAGGTTCCCCTGGGATGTATTCAGAAAAATCCATCAAAATGTCCTTATGATTCACTTCACAACACTTACACTGTTTTTGTTTCCTTTTTGCTTCTCTTAGCAAATTTTTTACTATAATTCACCACCATGCCAAGAAGCTGACCCAGTTATGAAGACAGCTACGTGAAGGCAGAGATGCCTCTTTGTCCCTTGGGCAGCATCTGGAGGTTCTATTCATCCGAAATGTCCCTGAAGACAACCAGGCTCAAGGCTACATAGAAGATCTGACTGAGGCATGCAAGATGGCTGAGGATCTTGTCCTGAAGCTCAGTGCAGATGAGAGGAACACACACCCTGATGAAAGGGAACTGAAATTGCAAGATAGGTATTTCTCAAAAAGGGAGCGAATTAAGAAATGGAGATCAATTTCTCT